CAAGTTTGCGTTATTCCAAATATGGGTGACATACGATAGAAGGTCGCCTGTTGATCTTTGTTTCCGAAAGACATATTGATGATCGCTCAAAATGTTAAATGTAATTGTAAATGTACTTGACTAATCTTCTGCGTTACTTTTACTGCATAGCATGAGAGTTGAGTTCTTCTGCTCCTCCGACAGTCGACGGGGAGCGTGCTTACCTGTCGCCTTCTAAGAATGTATTGAACGCAACCAGGGATAAGAGACAAAGGAATAGCGATCGTTGTGAGGGAAGGACGGATGTAATGAAAATTCTACAATCGTCATGCAGGATTTCGCAGAGCACACAGAGGAATTCGTTTCAATTCATACACGGCAGCAGTAGAAGTAAACGGGAAAAATAATTGTGATAGTTCAATTAATTTTTATGAAATATTACTACTAGAATTTATGTGTTATTGATTAAAATCGAACCACTGGATATTTACCTTCACAAATATCAATTTCACATTGTAGTTATACAGGTTTTCAGACAAAAACACTAGTTGCGAAGAATTATTCATTCAGGTTACTTCAACCCAATTCACAGGATCGATATTTCTTGACAAGGAAATATTTTTGGAAGACATTACTTTTTTAAAAAAAGTAGAATACTGGAACTTCTTCGCTTGACAGAAAATAATCTCCATAAGTTTTATTATCCATACTAGTCTTGCTAAACGCATCGTTGTTCGACACGGAGATTTTTTATATTTCGATTTCTCCTAGCTGATCTTTTTCTTGTGCTCGCCAATACAGACATTCGAAGGTCTTTTGGTTTTTCAATATAGGACTTGCTGCATTTAAATAATTTCCAGTAAATGAAATTCTTGGTATCGCTTTTTGATTTTGATGCCTTGGTTTTAGTGGGGTTACTACGAATGGTGTTATCGGATCTGAAGTAAGTTTATAATTTTGTACCTAGACCAAGTTCTTCTTGTTCCGTTCTATCCTATGTTTCGTCCTCTAATGAAAGAAACGAATTCAACTGGCTAATGTCTTCTACCATTCTGTGGAAGATCTGCTGATGCAGTTCCCAAATTTGCGTGAAGAATTCGACCCTCGGCTGGAAATATATAGCAGTTCAAGATTCACTATGCCTATCTGATGGACTATCGTATCAAAATATGTGACGAAATAACTCTATAGTTGTAGAAGGAAGACAAATCGATATTGAAAAAATTCTTAAAGTTAGACAGGAAAGCTACAACACCAAGTTCAAACGAATAATACGTGTGAAACGTGTGAAAGTACCAACCCTAAAGGAAGATTTCTAGAGGAAGATTTCTGTAGGAAGAATAAAAATGCGAAAAATTTAGAAACATCAATTTCCTTGTAGCAAACGAAGTAAACCAATGAAATATTTTCAATATTCGAGTAACGTATTATTTTAGTACAATCACTAGTGTTTTTAGGGAGATTTTTTTGCTAAATTTGATCAAAGTGAGATATTGAAAATATCAAAAAAGTAATTAAAGGACAACAAGTAATGATGGCAAAGTTCGTTGAAATTTTTTGAATGAAATGAAATGGAGAAACCAACAGAAGCCGAAAGACGATGAGATCCGAGATCCGAGGAGGAATGTATGGAAGATATGGATACAGAGGTACAAATTGAGAATGGATAAAGATCATTGAAGCAAAATATAGCATATTATGAACAAAATCTCAATATAATCTACTACTAGATTTTTCTAGCGGTGAAATTGCATTCGGCTAAATTTTAAACTACTATATATATAAATGAACCTTAACACTAAGAACAGTGAAAACAACCCCTGGAAAAAAGCCAAACAAATCAAAAAGTGCCCGGAACTTGAGGTGTCTACTATTCTTTTCGTTGATTTCACTCTTCAAATTGATAATCTAATGCATTATTAATATATTATATATGATTTAGAATATCTTGAAAACTGTCATAGCTGCGATAAAAAGCGACAGAACGTTTTCTCATAAAATTCTTTATTGAAAATGTAATAGAGCCAAGTTTAATTTTCAGAAGAATTGAGCAAATGTAGTAATGAAAAAAATGAAAATTTAAGGAAGTTGATTTTGAAACTCAAAATTTAGAAAGTAAATCGAAATTAATGTATCCACTCGATGGAGGGAGATGAAAGTTGGAATAATTCAAAATCAATTGGATTATAAGACTTGAGAAACATGTTATTCAGCCATATAAGAACAAAGGCTTTCTCGGCCGGAGTCATAATTGAAGAGAACAAAATCCGGGCTGGTAGGCCGTGGTCGAGTGGAACCCGAAGTACCAAACGTTTCTTCTGCTACTGCGGCAGACATGTTCGTTGACTATGAGGACGAATGTAGTATCTCCAAGTCCTAGCAACAACTAACTAGTTTCGGAACAAATCATATTTCGTGTGTAAATACTGCGACCAAAAGTGGAGCACTTGAGAATTTTTTTTCTGACATTCTTTATAACAATATTTGCAAACCAGTTATGAGAATAAGATCGAGTTGTATCGGATAGTAGTTTCAACTCCATTTTAAAAGAAAAATTGTATAAACTATAATTGGATACCAATAATGTGAATATTACGACCATTTCTCCAAATTGAAAAAATATTCGGACTGTCAACCGTCACCTATTCCTTGTCAGTTGTCAGCAGTCACTTGTCAGCTCTCACTCGTCAGTTATTTCGTGGATAACTCAATATAGATTAGCATGCGCCAATATGACCAAAACAGAGGATTTAGGACCTATGAAACTTCTAGGTGAAAAGTTGAATCTGGCGGACGTCAAATAGCTGAGAGTTATACTAGATTCCAGGCTTACCTGCCGTCAACAGGTATGATGTGTTGGCTCTACATCTATGGTTTCGTGGCCAAAAATGAAACAAATGACCACTATTAACATATTACGCAGGGTGTTTGACGATGATGATAACAGTAGCAAAAAAATTCTACCAACGGCTGCATTGAAGACACTCTTCATTCTCCCTGCTTATTGTGATAATGGGGAAGATAACTGCCAGTTCAGGCTGTAAAACCCTCGAGGTGCAAGGGATCGGACACAACAGAAATTTCGGGATATTTTCAGGAACGATTATCAAACATATTTTTGAACTATATGACACCGAAATTAAGAACCGAACTTGGTGGCCAGTCATAAACCACGAAGAATGGATAGTGAACAGTCATCCTAAGAAAATGCTTGTCACAAACAACTGGTTTACAAACGGTTCGAAACCGAACGTGAAACAGGAAGGACTTTATGATGAATTTACTATGCAAATGAGAAATTTACGAAAACGGAAGTTTTTGGCTTTCTACTTACTACTCCATGTGGGAATCTTCCAAAGAAAGAAAGAAAGCAATCGATTTCGAAAAAAGTAGATCATGCAAAGAAGTAACTTTCAGACACAAACTGAAAGAAAAAGCCCTCCTGAAACAGCTACTTCAATATAAACATTGAATTACACGACAGAAACATTCTTAGGAAGCAAATACTTTTATTTGAATATTGAGTTATAAAAAATAGTCCACTTAGTCCGTATTCCAAACATTTGTTATGGAATTGAATCGGATATCATTAACAGGATTCCTACACAATATACTAAATGAAAGGTGAATAACTTTTTTCGAGATGAATTGCCCTAACACCAAACTGATATTTTTGCACTCGACGCGCGTTTCGCCAACAAAGTTAGCATCCTCAGGAGAAGAAAATCAATTTTCTTCTACTATTCTACTTCTACTATTTATACAAATTAACATCATGTGAAAGTATAGTGGGGAAACTTATCCTTCTCTCCCACTCAAAACGAGTCAAGTGGTAGGTGGGAGTCGTACCAATTCCACTTCCTATTCAATCATATAAGTCGACTTACCATCCTGAAGTTCATTCATTCACTCTACAACTGTGAGCAAACAAGTGTGAGCAAACAACAAGATGAATTGAGGATAGAAAATAGCTGCTGCATTAAATAACATATCTGCTATTGATGAAAATAATTGGATAGACGAGTCAGATGATGAGGATGTCAACATTCCACTAGAGGAAGTGATAGTTGAAGAAGAGGATATTGGAGTCGATGAAGATGTGATAGATGAAGTTGAAAATGAGGCCAATGAAGATGATGTGTCAAACCTGTGGCACAATAACCGTGGACCTACTGGTCAATAAATGAAAGGTATAAATTTCACTTACATCTACGTTACCAGCAACGGTCAATTCACATCACAGTACGATAGGCATACTTGCAATGTGAAAAAAATATCGATTTTAAGCCTGAAAAAAATTAGCAGATCGATATTTCCACAGATAACTAGGCGTACTTGATCTGGGAATGCCTTGAAGAAAGGAGGAAACTGGCGAACAGGACATTCAAGTATCTCACTCAAGAAAAGCTGATGAGTTAGACTCGTACCATCGACTCCATATATAGAACTTGGAGGTATCAAAATATTTGGTACGGAACCCTATCATTATGTGGGTCTATGAGAAACGAAGAGTTCTGAAAAAATATATTCGGTAACAAACACGAGAAAACTTTTATGAATGGATCGTCCGAAAAAAGAACTGAAGAACTTCTTCAACAAAGCAGAGATTTGCTTTAGCTGCAGGCAGTGTAATAAAAGGACAAAGACAGCTCTCCAAATTCTCTAGGAATGTGAGGCACTCGATCACAAGAAGCAAACGATTAGAGATAACCTAAAATAACTATAGAAACTGGTACAGGAAGGAGAAAATCGTTGATGTGGGTGTCTGCAAATCGTGAACGGTTAATACAGGCTGTTCGAAAAACAATTATAGTACAATCACAAACGTTGAACAGTTAATATGATCAAAAATAAATATAGCTCTGAGTACATAAAAGTGTAGGTTTTGGCATTGTGTTCACAATACCTCTGAAATGGAAACATATATTTTCAATCAGTTTCATTTAAGAATTAAAGATACCAGTTCATTCCGTCATTAATAGAAAAATTCAATCTTGGATATGTGTAAAAACGCAACAAAATCTTGAAATATATCTTTATTACAAATGGGTAAACATACAACTAGGTCAGTTTAACAGCAACATAGAGAATGAAAAAAATAATTTTTCAGTGAAACACATAAATATGTCACCATCGAAATACATTTAGCTGATGGATATTTAAGATTTCACAGTTCAAAATTCGGTTCATATTATAACCATGGTTTAGTTAATCCCTCTTCATAAAACTCTTTCATCGCTTCCAGAAACTGTTCGCTTTCTTGAATGTCGGCAGGAGTCTTCATGCATCTATGCAAAAAAGTAAGAATAAGAGCATTATTAATCTTTAATGCTAAATGAGGATCTATTTTTCGCATCATCCAGTTCAACCAATATCCTACTACTAATACGGAATCTGTCTGATTTTCGTGTGTCGTTCCTCTGAAATAAAAATATATTTTGAATTGAATTTAGAATTGAATCTTATAGATAAAAATCAGGGAGCGGAGAGATTGGAAGATTTGATCTTATAATGAACTGTATATCTTACGAGACACTATGTATTTTCTGATTTTTTATTTCTTTCATTTCACTATATATATTCTTCTTCAGTAAAAATTAAATCCGGGTATGGACTTGGAAAAAACAAATATGATCCACTTCAAAAAACTACACCCCGTACATTACAATTTTGAAACTTATTTTTTTTCAAAATGAAAAACGAGTAAGGTACTTCAAATGTTATTGGTATTCGTGGATACGATTTCATTACCTATTAAATTAAATCCGGGTATGGACTTGGAAAAAACAAATATGATCCACTTCAAAAAACTACACCCCGTACATCACAATTTTGAAACTTACTTTTTTTCAAAATGAAAAATGAGTGAGGTACTTCAAATGTTATTGGTATTCGTGCATACGATTTCATTGCCTATTAATTTGACTCAAATGAGAAATTAGCTTCTGTAATATACATACGAAAGAATAAATTTGTGGTATGAGGATATATGAAAAAAAACTAGATTGAAAAAATGTGATCCGATCGCAATTCGAACCCGGCTTTTCTGTTCTTTAGGCAGGCGCAATAATCAGCTCACATATTTTCAGTTCCCTTTTTTCATATGAATGCATTCCGCAAATCTATTCTTTCAAATGTAAATATTTCCATAATAAGGGTCTTTAAATTTTTTTCAAAAGAATGTTTCCTAATTAATAATTTTCGAGTTGTAACCTACAAAATTCAATCAATTTGAGGGTCATAATCCTTAAGTAAAACGCATTTCAGTGAAGAACTCACTAATGTCCTGTAGGTGTAAAAAATTATGATAATGATTGTCATTGAATTTCAATATACTTATCTAAACATAGTCGACTAGGAATTCAACTCATCGTGTGTAAATTCAACTTTAAAAATTTGAGAAACGTGAAGTATAAATGTCAACTTTTTGATTAATGTTTGACAAGTGTGAGTTGTAACATTAGAAACAAATGTTTCAGAAGCTTTTATTAACCGAGATTATGCTTTAGTATTTAATTTAACAATTTTTGAGCATAAACAACCAGTAATTGTGATGACAATAATAATCTTATGATTGCAAAGTATTATTTGTTTTTTTTACAACCTCGACAACGAAGAGAAGTATAATAATGTCGCATCACGATGCCAACTATTTTACGTTATTAATTCTGATTGATATTTTTGTAATAGTGATATTTCATGATTTCGAAGCCTACCCTCAAAGTTTTCGTGGATAACTGGTCTTCAAAACACTTGCTTTATTTCGAAAAATCTCTTATACTTGAATATACTATTTTCATTTATACTTCAATAAACTATTTCATAATGTCTTATTAGTGCTTATTTGGATGTTCAATATACAATAAGAAATTTAAATTGAGAATACTTTTCATACTTACAAAATTGTATACATTTCAACTGTTTCGTTCGTAAGAAATTTGGCCATAGTTTTCACGTTTGATTCAATATGAAAAGTTTGCGTATTCAGAAAAAGTATAGGGAATTTAATTCGATCCTCCAACTTCTCGTCTTTTATTGGAAACATCCATGGATCAAGTAATATACACTGTCTGAAAAAAGGCAATATTGAGTTATTTTCTCAGAGAACGCTATCAATTTTGAGGGGTGGGATTAATGTTTGTGAGATTAATGTTCTACTCCTCACAACTATAGGAAAGAGATTATAGATATACAATGTTTTCTATATAAGACAGAAAAACTAGATGGGCTTTCTACCGGCTGTAACCGATAGAAACATATGTGTATGATTTACTTACACATTTTTCTGAAAAGTTATGAAGATATTTGATTTTATGTTTTTTATTTTTTAGTTGAAGTTTCCTATTTGTTAAGAATCAATAGAAACTAAAGAAACAATGAAGTTTTTGTTATATTGCATTACTTTTTTGTACTGTCCTTCGCTCTGCTATGTGCCTACAATGACATCATCAAAACAGTAACAGATGTTGAGACTAAGAAAAAATTAATTAACAGTGTTGAATATCATGAAATTATTTTTTATGATATTTAACATAAACTGTGGTTTCATATTCAAGTAGCAACTCAGAATTTTATTCTCTAAATGCAGAATGTCAGAAAATTGTTTACTTTTGTAAGCCATTTAAATGTACAAAGCAGCTATCGACCAATGGATGATAAAAAGATTTAGATAGACAGTTATACAGCATACAATGTAGCTATGATTGTTAACATTGCATACCAAAAAGCTATTCAGTCTTAAATAGATCGGTTTTTTTAATAAAGACACTTTACCCTAATAAACTCAAACCAACGTGGACAGTAGAACAGAAAGTATGTTCATTTGAATATACCGGGTGATTCTCTAAGGCGGCTCACCCCTATAACTTTTTTATTATGGGCCTATTTGTTTAGGTAGTCCTAGCAACAGTTTCAATTGTTTGTCACGGATAACTAGAATAACAGGACTTAGTGCATAAGTATACCGAATACGTATTATTTGTTATTAGGTATGATCGTTTCTTGCAATTACTCAGAAAAATAGAGAAGATAAAGTGTAAGTGTGTAGTATCAAATTATTCGTAAGAAAATGATCTTTCACAAAAAGCCGACGAGCTACCCCTTTTCCATTTGTAAAAAACAAGTTAACTGGAAAAATTCATATTTGCGACTGTGAAATAATTCTCAAAACGACTGTGAAGTCATAAGCCTCAAAGTCCTTGTTTTCCCATGTTACTTGATCAAGAATGAAGCGATTTACACGATCCATGGCTTTCTATTGTTGAATTTAGAATGTCATTCTCGATCGAAATAAGTAAAAATATATAGGATGTCCCACTTAAAAATCGAAAGTTGCGGTCATTTCCGGTCAAACCGAAAGTACGGCGAAGTAAGTAAACATGTCAAAAAATATAAATGGATTTATAATACATAACCTCCAAATTTCGTTTTTCTATCTCCAATAATAAAAAAGTTAATAGAGTTGAGCCACGTTAGAGAAGCACCCGGTATATCCCAACAGTTTTAATCTTTTGCACTACAAGATGCTAAACTTTAAAGAAAAATAACTCATTTTATTGTAACCCTAGATATTTTACTGAAACATAGTGCGAATCATCTATGCTTTTGGTAGAATATAAAAATATCAAAACACATGTGAATCGTTGAAGAAAGGAACTTTCATCAGCTTTCGTAACGATCAAGGTCAAATAGGGCAAAGCCACTTGAAAGAAAAAATCGTAAAAATGAACTGTTTCCATGTTTTAAGAAATTTGATAAACAATCAACCTAATTATTGAAAGGGTCGAAAATATATTATCCACTGTAAACCCCATTGAAAGTAACCGTCAAGAGGTACTTCAAAGTATCTAATGAAGAAACAAAATTCAGTTTGACTTGATAAGAAAATAAATGAATCTATCTACTAACATTCGAGACATAAAAATATTAAAATAGCTATTGTAGTGACTCACTTCATTAGAAATAGCGGAAATCTGTCGATGATTCTCGCTGACTTATCCGACGAAATAGAAGAGGGCATTGAGAGTATCAGTCTAAGAAATAATTTCATAGACATTTGATTAGTAGGAATAATTTTCTTATACGCCACTGCTTTTTCTCAAAGTTAGAAAATATTTTGAAATCTTCATTACTTTCTCAACAAACAGGTCTTTTTTGTTGGCGGTTGACGTAGGTATAGTGTTCGCATGAAAAAATCAAATTAATTTTCATTAGCAAATCAATAATTTATTAAAGAAAATGTTTTCCAAACGGTTAAATTATTAGACTGAAGCAATCCAAATATATTTTCGAATATGAAAACATGATCTGAGTCAGTATTGTCACCTCCTTTTCAATTTGCTACCACTGCTCTTCGACTCATGAATCCGTATACTCTTTAGAAAATCCCGGAAATAATTTCAATAATTTCACAAAAAAGTGTGATGCGATTTCTCAATTACTTTACAGTATGGAATGGTGTGTTTGCTGTAAGCCAATTTGTTAGAATAACACCAAAGGAAATCCGGGGACCTAATTGGATATGCTTGTGGTCCTCCAAGGATTTTCATTTAGATATTCTCGCGCTAGAGCGCTGGCGCCCTATCATGCATGAATTGTAGTCTGGCAATTCTTCTTCGAAAAACTGCAAATGAGCATGCTTATTCATCTTAGCATAAAAAAAGACCAAATAATTGTTAATATTCATCGCACATTCAAGCTAAAACGTTAACAGAAAACTGCTCCTTGTGATGAAAAAAAATTTGCATGCAGGTTTTTATCTTCTCAAAAATAATTATAGTGAAAGTTTTATGTGGTGTTTCTTAAAAGTGGAAAAATCTGATTTATTGGTGAATAAAAGTTCACAATCAAATAGTAGATATTCATGCACTTTTTGAAGAAACCATTGGCAAGGGTTCATCGGCACCTAGTGGAAAGTATCAAGGGAGTAGAGCCTGAAGTGTTGGATGTGATAGGAATATAATGAAAATTCATAGAAAATTTAACAAACATAAATGTGAGAGATATTCAAATTGTTAAACGCACAGACGCCACTATCATGAAAATAAATTATGTTGTGAAGCAGCAAATGCTTTTGATACATAGAAACTGTAAACTATATTCCACAAAAATATCTGGGGTCATACCAAACTTATCATGAAAATGAATATATTCTCAAAACTTCAGCAACCTATAGTTCAAAAGATGAAACCATTGGAAAATATGTTCATGGGTGAACAAAAAAAATTTTGAAGGATTCTATGACATTAAATTTTCACTACACATTTTTCGCTGATGAATGCAGGGTGAGTAACTTGAGAACTAATTTTTGTCTTGAGTACAAGAAAATCGATTGTTCCTATTTTTATTCTTTAACGAAATGAAAAGCTTGAGAAGAACAATAATAATAGTATCGGTGTATCTGACTTGGAGACTCACTATTTGTATCAGCTTAGATTAGTTAACTGTTTGACAGTCTGTATGAGTTATTTGAGAAATATCATAGGTTGTTGTTAGAATTTGACAAATGGATAATTTGTCAAGTCATTAAACTCGAAATTGTTTGAATTAGTCTTCAATTTGCTTGAGTATTGGTCCTTCGAGTAATTATTGTACCGCTATGAAACAATATGAAGAAGTAGATAAATCATCAGAAGTCAAAAATGTTCGACATAATGAGAGGCCCAAGAAAGGAGTTCCATCTTTGAGATCTATGGATATGTCAAATGTAGTATTTGATTCAAGTATGGTTACTGGCAATATTCGACCAGACCCAAGTAGCTACACAATTTATGCAAGAAAGTCACATCTATTGAAGATTCTCGGGAAGGGAAATGGTAAATTTTCGTTATTCTTGGAGACTCACTATTTGTATCAGCTTAGATTAGTTAACTGTTTGACAGTCTGTATGAGTTATTTGAGAAATATCATAGGTTGTTGTTAGAATTAGACAAATGGATAATTTGTCAAGTCATTAAACTCGAAGATTCTCGCGAAGGGAAATTTCCTGAAAGTGAACTTCACAAGAGCTCGTTTTCTGCTCCAGCAGGGATTAACGGTGTTAGTTCTGTAAAAAATATTGAAATAACATTCAATTCCTTCTCATAATTCAAGTATCAATGGACTACATATGGAAATGAAGCTAATAAGAAGAAAAAGAAATTGCAGAAGAAGAATCTGAGGAAAAGTTAAAAGACTTAAAGTCAAAACGTTAGTTTCGAAACAAATACTCTGGTGAAGAAAAACGAGGTATTTTCAACTTGTTCCGAGAATTTTTATGCAAAACAAAGCATTATCGTTGGGTAACAGTCAGGATAGTTTTACAATGTTATAAGGATCACAATCAACCAGAATGGTTCAATATTTTGTCTTCTCCTAATATAAATGTTCCAAGTGAATGTTCCAAGTTTTATTGGGGGTTTCACATTTTCATCAATGAGTTTAGAAGATCTACAGACCAGATTATCTGATGAAGACAATTTAATCCGTTTGGACCGGGTAATAAAGGGCAAAGCAGAAGAAACTGTCAAAGCTCTTCTCATTTTTCTAAGAAACGTCTCCAAAATTATCAAGACACTAGAAATGAATTTTGGCGCTTATAGAAAAAAAAGAAGAAAAAAACTAGTAACATCAAAGAAGACAAGTGGTAGTCATGGATGATTCATTTTTCTAATGTTGTGAATAACATAGTAACCACAATGAAAAACTTCAATCATCATCTGTATCTCTACAACCCAGATCTATTAGCAAATTTGATAAAAAAGCTTCTACTATGCAAAATTTCAGGAGAAAATTCAAACATCAACGTGTATCGAAGGAAATCCAAACATCATTAGAAGAATTTACTGAATGGTTTGAAGAGCTCAACTCGATGGCCACTTTTAGTAATTATTTTCAAAGAAGTATATCTGAAAACCCTGTTAGAAGAGAAAGTGTCATGATTTCCAAAAGAGATAGTTCTTTGGAGAATAAATCTAGTGAGTACATTTTTTGTAAAAAGCTGTACCACGTAATATCAAAATGTACGAAATTCTCTGAATTATAAATGAAAGATGAAATAATGTTCACTGTCTCAAATTTGGGCATATGTCGAAGTGTTTTTTAATGTCGAGATGTGATAAGGATAGTTGTAGAGATAGACACCATTCTCTACTTCATGAACAATCACAAAATAAACACAAAGCCTAAACAGTATTATGAGTAATCAACAATCACAAAATGAATTACAGAGCCCACATAATATTGTGAGTCAGGCCAATTTCTGTGCTAGTTTTCATAGTGAATGAAACGAAAAATTAACTATTACAATCGCACCTGTACTTATGCGAGGACCAGCTAGGGATATTACGACTTACGCATTCTTTGATGAAGAATCAACCTGACCATGATCGAGGAAGACCTAACTCACAGATTACGACTTCCAGAACTGGTTGTTTCACTCTGTTTCCAATGGACCAACGAAATAACTCACCACGGAGATCGTTCAAAAATTGTTTTTTTTTATATGTTGCTGCTTCGAGAAAACCATAAAAATTCTTCACACTGAAACAAGTGAGAACAATTCAGAATTTGTGACTTCCATCTCAAGGAATAGATGTTGATAACTGAACCTTATTCAGACCGTGATCTATTGGCATTAATAAGAAATGCCAAACCGGAAATTTCAATCAGTCAGGATAATTGTGACCTCATAGTACCAAGAAATATCATCCAACCAAAACTGCATCGATCTATTATGTTTCAGTGAAAATGTGGATGGACAGTGCATGGTCCTATTAGTGAAACTTACACTGAAACCTTTCTTTCCCATCTACCTCTTTGTGGCCGACATTTGAATTCTGACAAACTGCATGAAATGGTGAATGATACTTTTCGTCTTGAAGCGTTTGGTTTTAAAATACCAGACAATTATCAAATCATTCGAAAAGCTGTTGAGATCATGAAAAGAACTCTGAAGAAAATCGGTTTTCATTACGAAATAGGACACTTATAGAAACGTGACAACTTCACTCTACAACGTAGTGAAGTTATTGTTTTGAATCATCTGTATTTTATGGAACGTAAAGAGGACAAGGATGCCAAAATTGCAGAAGAGTATATTTCAAAGATTGCCGAGTATGCCCGAAAAAGATACTCAAGGAATTTACATCTATCTGAAATTCAGAATAATAGAAAAACTGGTATTCTCCACACTTTGGGGTACACAAGGTATGAGTCTCAACGATTTTTTTTGCCTAGATCCTGACTAGGTTACTTCTTTGATATATGTCTTGTGACGATTCAGACAGGGAAGAATTACTTCTGGAGGTGATATCAGAAATATCTTTCAGAGGAACAGAGAGGTGCCCAATTATTTTTATGACGTGTTATGGAGTGAAACCAAAGTCAAGATATTTACGAAATGAAGGTGATGCTGTTTGGTGCAATATCGTTCCCATCTTCAGCACAGTTCGTAAAAAACAAAAACGCACCCTCGTTTCATCATAAATATTCAAGGATGTTCCAGAGACCTTGCGTACTGATTTTCAAGTAGATGGAAAACTGGACTCAAAAAAATATATTAAAGAGTTCTGAGCATATCTTGGTCTTCTACGACTGACGATTTTGTATTTATATTGAATCTGATGTAATCTGCGATGGATAAAAAGTACCAACTAGAAGGTATAAAAAGTACCAACTAAAAGGTTAGTACTTTTTGGTACAGTATTTGGCACGCTAGTTCTGTCAATAGATACTGCTTCCCTAATTCTACGTTAATTAACAAAGTTAATTTGCATTTATTTTCCGATGCAAGATCCTTTTTGAGGATGGTTGAAGATGATGAAGTCTACATTTCATTTCTAGCAGAAAAACTCAAAGTTGATCCAATACATGTAGAATTGCATAATCCATACGAAAGGAAATAGAACATATTCTGGACTGACTCGATGGTTGTTATTCAACAAATCAGGTCTGAATCAAGAAGATCCCCGATTTTCATGGCATGTCGACATGGAGAAATTCACGAAGACTCCGATTTGTCGCAATGGCATTTTTTTATCATCTGAATTGAATGTTGAAGACCGTACGACAAAAGAAAGAAAAGATATCGATTTTTTGCCAGAAATCGAGATTCTCGAAATTTAATCGACCCATTCGATCCACTGCTTAGATTATACATTTCAAAAAATTTATCAAGATAACAAACTGTCCACCCAACTTAATTTTATGTACTGGTGGAATATTGAACACATTTTCATTTTGAAAAGTAATATATTTCTACCAAAGTTTAGCCGCTTATATAGATTAATTATCTGCCTTCTAGTCTGGTTCACTTTTTGTTTGTGAAATTTTACAAACGGGTCCAAAAATTACGACCAAGGTGTCATTGGATTCGTATTTTCACCTAGAAAGTTTAAGGAAAGGTCTGAAATGGGGCTGAAAAAAAATTGAAAAGTTATAAACAATTAGGTGGAAAAAAAATGATGCTTCAGTTTTTTTTTTTAATATCTCGAAAAATATGTAAGGCGTAAAAAATTGTAAAATCTCGGAATCCAGTCAATGAATTTCCATAAAAACTGTTGGACTGTATTGTTGAAAGCT